TTGCATTTTTTCAAGTGTTGTGCAATGATTTTGGGAAAAATATTACCAATAGTCTTATAAAGCATGGTAGAGTGTATTTCAACAGTTGGCAACGTCCACTGGGACCAGGAGGGTGAAACGGGATATTAATGCACAATCTGGCAACCCTGTCGCACCCTCACAAAATGGCCGCTGATAACCACAAGTCACCGTGTTGTCATTGAATAGCATGGAATTAAACCTTCAGAGTATATGTTTTGTGACTGGTACCAAGAGTTGACAGATCCCACATATGTGTCACTCCTTGAAATGCAATAATAGGCTGTATTCAAATAATATCTAATATAAATATAACCTAGAATGTGTACTCGTGAAAAAAAAAATATGGCAAATTTTTAGTTTTTTTTTGCAGGTTTTAGGTTTGCTGGTAGCTTTAAGGCATATATTTGGGAATTTCTTAATCGCTGTGAATATAGTGTGGATGTTTGATCAGTTCCTGCACAACGAAAAATATTCAACTTTATGGATGTATGGATATCAAAAAACCTGCATGGTTTTGTGGGAATATCAATCTAAGGTGCCATAATGGTTCTGATGAACGGCAAGTAAATGAATGAATGTTTGGAAACGAACAATATCTTTTGGTAGAGCCTGTCATCAAGTAGGTGCTTAATGGCTATCTACAAGAGGTTTATAGGAAAAAACACCCAGTATCTCATATCAATTGAAGAAAATAATATAAACATGAATAAAAAATCAACACTAGTAATTAAAACATGAATTTTATTAAAAAATCCAACATTTCTTTAAATTTTGACTGTATTATATGTAATTTCTTAATATTCAATAAGCTGGTGATGTTTCAATGACAAGCTGTCATCTCATATTTTGACAGTATTTTGTTTTCAACATTTCATAGCTATTGGTTGCTAAAATTTGTTGATTGGAACTTGAAGCTCATTCGTTGTATTTGAAGGCCTGTTACCCTATAGGTGGAGAATAACGGACTGTTGTTGGTGAAATTGAGACCCTTTTATACAGGGTGGCCAACTAAGAATGCGCGGTACTGTATCTGGGAACCTATCCATCATAAACACACAAAAAAAAGAGAATTTCAGAAGAATAAGAATTTAAGGGATTTCCGTATAAAACTAAAATTTATGTTATGAATAAGAAATTGAGATGCGACTTAACTTGTTTTGATTTTTATTTATGAGGACGGTTAAATAACGTTCTGTTTCAGACTCAATCTACAGCCAGACAAGATATGAAAAACCGGATCCGTAGTGCAATACGTAACATTACGAGAGCAGGCATTGAAACTGCAGTTTTGTCTACCCATGAGACACTTCAAGAGCGCATAGAGCGTATATGCATTTCGAGCATATACGGGGGCAATAAAATCCTTAATTTTTTAGATTGTTCCTTTTTAGGGCACATTAATAATAAAAAGAAATTGTAGAACATTAAAACAATAAAAATTCAAAGGATTTCCGTATGAAACTTCCTTTATCCTAAATTATAGTTTGTGGACAAGATATCGAGATGCGGCTTTTGCGAGCTTGTTCAGAAATCATTTCGCTACTTTTTCATAAAAAAATCATACTGATGCATTTATTTTATTTTTGAAAAAATGAACCATTTCTGTCGGAATATCGATAAAACCCTCTAGCGGTCACATGTCAAACTAACGAAACTTCGAATATTATAACGTTTGTATCCCAAGACTGGCTCTATGCAACAAGCTTAAGTTTTTTAAAATCGGCTCAGCAGTTCGGAAGATACAGGGTGTTTTTTATGGAAACCTTTGAATACCTCCCATCACTTTATTTTCAGAGATACAGCAAAAATTGTGAAACAAAAAAGTTCAGATTTTGACGCCTTAACTAATCTTAACTTCTTCATGTCCCAAAAATTTTAAACAATTATTGTAAAATCGAATTCCAATTCAAATTAAGCCGCTTGGCCATTTTATAATAAAACGATATTACTATAATACTTACAAAGTGAAAAGCCAAAAATGTGTATTCAGGGAGTGTCTGATGAATTCTATGTCAATGAGCAAAAATGGCGAGATCTTTGCAAGAAAGGAAGATACCTCAGGTGTCATTATTGTGAAAGACACTGAGGGTTTAAAAAATATCAAATAAGCCGTCAACAAGCAAAGTAAGTAGAAAATACCTATCTACGTTAAGATGGATAACAAATGTCAGGACCTAATCATCTACTACCAAAATCCAAGAGGACTACGATCTAAAACAACGGAGTTCTTTAATAATGTTCGTGCAAGTGATTATGACATAATATGCCTGACAGAGACGTGGCTCAAAGATGGTGTATGCAGCAGCGAATTATTTGGAGCGGATTACACAGTATTTAGAAGAGATCGTCAGAGTTCATGTTCACAAAAAATTGATGGTGGTGGTGTGTTAATCGCGGTAAAAAATGTCTTCAACTCAAAACGCTGTTGTGAACTCGAATCTGACGCTGAAGATCTTTGGGTATCAATTGAACATATCAACGGTACCAAATTATTTATAAGCTGTATATATTTACCACCTAAGGATAGCATTTCATATGCCTCAGTTGTAAGCAAATTATACCAGAATGAAGGTTTTTTTCGACAAAATACGGTGTTGTTGGTTGGTGACTTTAATCTTCCAAGTGTACTTAATGAACATTTTATGGAGCCACTTAATGTTGAAGAGAAAACGAGTGCCTTACTTGACATATTGTCGTATCTACAGTTAATGCAATTTAATAAAATTTACAATTCAAATAACCGTTTATTAGACTTGATACTTACGTTAGTAACGAACGTTCAATATATAATATTACGAATTCGGTTGACATATTGGTTCCTGAGGATAATCACCATCCTGCAATTACATTTTGTTTTAAGCATGTTTTACTTAAACCATTAATGCACCAGAGCCGATGCCTTTACAACTTTAATAAAGCTGACTATACTTCCATAAATAATACTCTTTTAGACATAGAATGGGAAAAATTATTTAGTACCAAATCTGTAGATGAAGCTGTAGCCATATTCTATAACATACTCAATGAAACGATTCACAAATTTACACCAACATATAAAATTCGAGGAAAATACCCAATATACTTTAAACTTGAAACAATACAAACAGTTAAGAGAAAAAATAAGTATCATAGACTATACAAACGTTTTAATGATCCATACTCATATCAGATATTCTGTGACCTTAGAGCCAAATCAAAAATCTTAATTAAGGAAAACCTGGATGAATACATAACAATGATGGAAAACAATATATTGAACGACAGCCGATACTTTTGGAAATACGTTTCAAGTAAGAAAAAATGTCATGTCTCTATACCTAGTTCTATAAATCATTCAAACTATGAAGTTAAAACCGAAAGTGGGGTGTGTAATGCCTTTGCTGATTTCTTTGCAAGTGTATATGTTAAATCTAAACATTTTTATTTAAACAAGGATGCTAGTCCTATTGATGTTACCTTAATATCCATTGAAAAAATATATCAACAAATAGTGTCCTTAGAAATTAAAAAATCAGTAGGCCCTGACGGCATACCTTCTGTATTTATAAAATACTGTTCCGCTAGCTTATGTTTACCACTTCACCTAATTTTCAAACTATCATTAACTCAAAGAGTCTTTCCAACGAGATGGAAAGAAGGTGAAATATTACCTATTCATAAAGGAGGCGATAGACATCTTGTGGAAAATTATCGACCTATCACTAAACTTTGTATTTTCTCAAAAATTTTTGAAAAGCTGATTTATGATCCTATCTTAAACATTACAAAAAATATCATTACGGAACACCAGCATGGATTTTTCCCTAAAAAATCTGTAGAGACGAATTTGATGAGTTCTCTAGAATATGCCTCTCACGCAATAGATGAGAAACTGCAGGTGGATGTTATTTATACCGACTTCAGTAAGGCTTTCGACAAGATTGATCATTCTATCTTGATGGAGAGACTTGCTGAGGTGGGTGTAGATGGTCCATTATGGCAGTGGCTAGCATCGTATATAAGTAATCGTGAACAAGTGGTGACTATCAATGGGTATCGTTCGGAGACATTCTTAGTAACTTCAGGTGTACCACAAGGTAGTCACTTAGGACCATTGTTATTTAACATATACATGAACAACCTTACTTCTGTTTTTCATTTCAGTAAATATTTGTTATATGCTGATGATCTAAAGATATTTACTATTGTTAGAAATGTAAATGACGGTGTAAAACTTCAAAGCGATTTGGAATCTCTGCAAAAGTATTGCACTGAAAACAGTATCTTCCTGAATTTAACAAAATGTCATTACATGAGGCTTACTAGAAACATAGCGAACACTATAGATTTCAGATATAAGCTGGGACGGCAGAATTGGAAAAGCTTCATGTAGTAAAAGACCTAGGGGTATACATTGATGAGAAACTCTCATTCATCACCCACGTAGAGCACATCGTAAATGATGCAAATAGAACACTAGGGTTCATAAACAGGACATGCAGAGGATTTACGAACCCAAAAACGCTTCTTTCATTGTACTACGCTTATATACACAACAAACTGATGTTTGCATCAGTAATATGGAATCCGTCTTACAATGTACATATAGTCAGGATAGAAAGAATTCAACACAAATTTTTGAAGATGTTAGCACATAAAACTCACCAACCTGTTACAGATCATCATTATACGCAAATTATGAAACAGTTCAATATGATTTCCTTAAAAGATAGAAGAACGATTTCTGACATTTGCTGTGTCGATAAATTGTTGAATGGCCTCACTGACTGTCCGGATCTTTTGGCAAACTTGAACTTTAACACTCCTGATAGAACGTTTAGAACCTATCATCTGTTTAGAATACCGTTCCTTAGAACCAATCTTGGTCTTAATTCCCCTTTGGTCAGGGCTCAAAAAAATCATAATAATTTCTGTAGATTTATTTAACATTAGCTTGACCTCCCTGAAAAAGGCTTTAAAGTATGAGTATTACAGCTCTATGGCAGACTAAAATAGAAATGTTTTATTTTTTTACATAACTCAAGTTATCACCTCCAATATCATTTGTGGTATAATTTCAATTTACTTTTGATTTCAGTTTTAATTAAACGTAAGTAAATGTTAAATTATGTATACTCCTTTTATTAAAAAAGTTTAATTAATAGTTTATTGCTTATAATTAGAACTACTCACTCAGTTTATGTTCTTACAACAATATCGGAGGTGAAAAAAATATTAATATTGAAGTATTCAATAATGTAATACATGTATATGTATACGATATTTTATGTTTAGTTTTAGTTCACTGAGGGTGTGTGTTGGGTTTACCTGTTAACACCCCAAACTGTATATAAATAAATAAATAAATAAATAAATAAATAAAAGCTCTGATTTATCAAAGTGATACTTCTACTTGACTATGAAGAAATAAGGTCCACAAAAACGATGTTTAAAATTAGCATGAACCCACCTTCTCGGAAATGTATCGTTAGAGTATCTATTAGACGGCTCGTTTTTAAAAATGACATAAAGCTGGCTTCACACATTCAGTGATCTAACAATGCAGTGTACACAAAGCAGCGTGTTCTGCTGGCACGCTTATACCCGCCGGAATTCTGAATGTTTATCAAAAGGGGGCAACGGAAAGTGTTACCATATAAGCAGTTCGGATCTATTTATAAATCCCAACGCACCCGAATATTACAGAATGCCAGCGTTTGGGATTCAGAAACGATTCGGACTATTTCCAGCTTCTAGATATAAATACTCTCACCGCTGTGACGTTGATTTGCTGTACCTTTCCCGAGATGATGTAGACATATTAAGTCATTTCCTTGCGCTCTTTAACATTTATTTTTAGGCCGGCTGATGTTATTTTTTTTTAGATGCTAATTCTGGTGCAATGTTTACTCGGATATTCGGTTTCTTTGCTTTATTTGGCTTGAGAGTATTTTTATCGGGTAGCTCAGAAGGGGACATTGTTTCGTACAAAATGTGTGTTTTGTACGGAAGAATGTCGAGGGAAAATGAAAGGTGAGGCAGGTAACAGTGTCAAAATTTTATTAAAAAATACGATAAGTAGATTTGCTCGTAACATAGTAATATGTATATTAACGTGATGGAAAGTCGCCTCTAAAATTACATACAAGTGTTTGGACGGGCTATTTCGAGATATTGCGAGCCCGTCCTGTCGTATTAAAAATCAAACTTTTACAATATAAGGTATAATATATAACAAACAAAATAAATATACAATTATATTAAGATGGTAATAAAAGATGTTAAACAGTCTGTCTTGGCAGTACAACCACTTTTGCATATTAGATGTAATATAATACAATGACAACAATTTGTTCGTGATAAAAAATGCATTCGAGTCGCTTAGAAACACTTGCGGTGGACGATGCCAGGGCCGGATTCGTCGTATTCCTGTTTGGAGATCCACATCTGCTGGAAGGTGGACAGGGAAGCCAGGATGGATCCACCGATCCATACGGAGTATTTCCTTTCTGGGGGAGCAATGATCTTGATCTTGATGGTTGAGGGAGCCAGGGCAGTGATTTCTTTCTGCATCCTGTCGGCGATACCTGGGTACATGGTGGTGCCTCCGGAAAGGACAGTGTTGGCGTACAAGTCCTTACGGATATCGACGTCGCACTTCATGATGGAGTTGTAGACGGTTTCGTGGATACCGCAAGATTCCATACCCAAGAAGGAAGGCTGGAAGAGTGCTTCTGGGCAACGGAACCTCTCGTTACCGATGGTGATGACCTGTCCATCAGGCAACTCGTAGCTCTTCTCCAGGGAGGTTGAGGCAGCGGCGGTGGCCATTTCCTGTTCGAAGTCCAGGGCGACATAGCACAGTTTTTCCTTGATGTCACGGACAATTTCCCTTTCAGCGGTGGTGGTGAATGAGTAGCCTCTCTCGGTCAGGATCTTCATCAGGTAGTCGGTCAAGTCACGGCCAGCCAAGTCCAGACGGAGGATGGCGTGGGGCAGGGCGTAACCTTCGTAGATTGGTACGGTGTGGGTGACACCATCTCCGGAGTCCAGCACGATACCGGTGGTACGACCGGAAGCGTACAGGGAAAGCACGGCCTGGATGGCTACATACATGGCGGGTGTGTTGAAGGTCTCAAACATGATCTGGGTCATCTTCTCCCTGTTGGCTTTGGGGTTCAATGGGGCTTCTGTCAGCAGCACGGGGTGCTCTTCAGGGGCCACACGGAGTTCATTGTAGAAGGTGTGATGCCAGATCTTCTCCATATCGTCCCAGTTGGTGATGATACCGTGCTCGATGGGGTATTTCAGGGTGAGGATACCTCTCTTGCTCTGGGCTTCATCTCCTACGTACGAGTCCTTCTGACCCATACCGACCATCACTCCCTGATGCCTGGGGCGACCGACGATCGAGGGGAAGACGGCCCTGGGGGCATCGTCTCCGGCGAACCCGGCTTTGCACATACCGGAGCCGTTGTCAACGACAAGAGCCGCTACATCGTCGTCACACATGTTGTCTGCTGTGGTTGATCACTGCTCACTACTAAGACAGAGTTATACACGGCTGATGAGCTCGCTTGCGACTGGATGCTCAGAGAGGCGGGATTGGTTTTTATAGCGTCTTGTGCCAGCGGCGTCACCAGCCTCTGCCAGGTGAGGTTTTTTCGGTGCGCGCCCGCGCTCGCCAGCGATACCATATCTCGGCATTATTGTTAGACATGTCGCGGGACTTAGGAAATATTCGATTCAATGAATACATACAACATCAGGTACTGTAAGGGTATTGTTTTTCAGTTCTACAAATGCTACTTTTTGTTTGGGAGAGATGCAGTTTTTAAGACACCAACGAAAAAAAAAACATCGAAGATATGCCAATTTAGGATAAGTCCGGAATATTTTAGGTTTATGAGCGAAAATAGTAGCACTTTTATATCTAATCACTCAAACTTAGGTGTATGACGTCTAAGAGGATCCTGACATACGGTCTAATATCTGCTTCTGTTCTAAAAGCATAATTGGAAAAACTAATAAAAGGAAATTACTGCCTTCTGGAATGTGGAAGCTATTGATGTCATAATTAACAAGAAGGTGTAATATAAGAAAACATGCGACACTAAAATAATTGTACAT